GTGTGTGTGTGTGTGTGTGTGTGTGTGTGTGTGTGTGTGTGTGTGTATGGGTGTGTGTCACCGTGGTCCACCAAGACGTAAGCAAATATTCCATAGTTTGCGCATCTCTCGAAATACTTGAAAACGATATCTATGGGGGCCGACTCGGTAACGTATTCTGACGCGTGACGATGTATGCATTGAAGACAGTGCACACAAGTGGCGAAGCCATAATGTGTCCTAGCGTAGTTGGGTGCGCTCTGCCTCCTGCTAAACCTTACCCTTATAAACTAACGCTCAAGCGCGTATATACCGAGTTATATTGATGTCCGACTCGCATATAATTGGCGAATTTTCTTCGTGCTCAATTCCCCCTTGAAGGACGCATACGTAATGCAATAACAGAACGTCAAGAGAAGGGGTTTCGGTTTTCTCCGTGTGCACGTACCACACGGTAATCTCTGGGCGCGGCCTGCATGACGTGGCCCCCGCCATGTGTAGTCAGGCAGTCATACACTCCTACTACACATGCATATATGATTGTGACCTGTATACTCACTATGAGATTGGCAGGCAAGTATTGACCGCGCGCACCTGTAGTTATGTGTGTGTATTATAAGTGCTGCTATAGCTGCGTGACATCATCGGCAGGCTATAAATGACTATAAGCGGGATGATGAATCACGCGTGTGTTCCGGCACAACAACATTGCATGAGAGCTGCCAGGCAGGTGACAGACGACGATGCTCTCCACGCGCGCCGCCTGCGTTCTAATAGATGCGGCGAATGCGGCGACGGCAATCCCATGTGAGGATGATTCTATACCCCGAGCATTGATGACATGTCGCGTGCGGTGACGCGGCGGTCGCCACACGAATACGTATCACCGGTGTTCACCGCTCGCTTCTACATATATATATATTTCGATTATTACGATTACGATAGATAGATAATTACGATAGATAATTAATCCAAATATATATACGATAGATAATTAATCCAAACGCGTAAACGTGGGAGATCTAACGGATGTGAAAACTATAGCTACTCGAACTACGCATGCGTCGTAATAATGTACGAAGCAGGCGAAGAATTTTTGTGTTGCCGTTACGTTAGTTTTTTATCGGCGATGCGATTTTTAAGGGCGATTGATGTCGCGTTAGTTGGTTGCTAGCACCATATACAGCGAGTAGTACTATCTATAATATAGCAATCATCGTAAAATGCTCGTGAAATGCGCAATAAAACGCAATGAGTTGTTCGCGTGCTGCTGCCGGGTTAAAAATTAATGCAAAGCAGACGCTCACGCATCTTTTATACGTGCAATTTTACTTGTCCGGCTTGCAGTAAATATCAGCAGACCGCCTATAGAATCGTCTCTGTTCGTCAATAAATGTACGCGTGGAATCGAATGATCTGTGCCTCGGGCCATCCGCCGAGAAATGACTTAACATGGCCGTGACTGGTTATGGATGTTGGAAGACGTGCCTTTAATACCAGATGTCACATTTCACATAGTTTCAGCAACGCAACCGAAGAATTGACATCAGTCTTCGCGTGGCTGAGATCTGCCTGAAGTGATACCACAGCCGTGCTTGTGCGAAATAAATTATACCTCTAGATTACTAGTTAAAGCATCTACGGGATGCGAATAGGCGTGGCTAAATAACATATTATAGTAAATAAAAATAACAAATAAATGTGATAAATTAAATGGGGCCACAAAATGTTTTTTTAAGTTTTAGGTTTTTTTAAGCTATTCGAGGTAAGGAAGATGGCCGATCATTTGAGCTGTTCGACATCTTGTGCAGGTGATGACCTAGACGGCGTTGTAGGCGTGCTTTTGCTTCTATACTGTGCAGTCGTTGCAGCTATACGCAAATACGTACGCACGTACGCACGCGCGCACACACGCACACACACACGCACGCACACACACACACATACACACACACGCACGCACACACACACACACACACACAAATTTAGCTTGTGGAAGGAAGTACTGCTACGCATGCGCAATGGTGACTTTCTCGCATCATAGCTGAGAGTTAATTTTGTGCAGGAAACTCGATCGTTCGCTTTATATTCACAATTTGCGATTAGCAAGAATTTGCGTAAAGAATGTTTCCTAAATGAAATAATATCGATGATTAATATTCATTATCTAATAATGTCGTACTGAAAAAAAAGTAATTGATTACCAATTTCATATTTGCGCTGTTTCATTTTAAATCCCAAACTCAAACGTTTGAAATATATACGGGCTCTGTTGATGACTAAAAATGATGACATGAGATAGAAATATGATGATGATTATAATAACCATAACAATAAAGGCAAAGCAATCATGAACAGAATGCCTAGATAAATAAATACGTGATGAATCATATGTCAGGCAAGGCATCGCTATATTTCCTACATTTCCGCGCCTACAGATGGGACCTGATAGCTTACGTATCTCGACGCTCACACATCGTACGTTTTCACCGCGTTGAAGACAATATTATTCACGCCTTAAATTACACACTTCAAACGGAACTAACCCCCGGGATCGGGAGAACGCAGGACCCTTGCCAATCGGAACTGCTAAATTGAGGTTTAACTTTGTCTGTATGAATGTATTTGTATCGATTCATGCTTTAACTCACGACTAATCAATAGAGATTTACATTCATCATCATTATATAAACTAAGATAGACATGTGTAATGAGTAAATAACAGCAGAAGCTCATACAGTATTATCGATTCCTATTCAGATGTCAATACACTATCATTGGTTCGGTCGGAGATCAAAATTACATTACTATTAAGAACACAGACGCAGATGCGCATACATTATCCTTAAATAAATAAGTAGTCGCTGATTATCACTAACCATGGCAGACGGATAAAGATATATTATAACTGACAAAAAATAAACGGTGGCCGTTGTGTCACCGCGTTTTCAATGATTCGCCTATTTTGGTTGACATTTAATGAGAGACGGGAAGTGCTGTCAAGTTTTCTCTGCAGGTAATAACTCACAAACAGGACACGAGGTGATGTGTGGGATGTACGCGCATGCATGTACGAATCAACTCCAGCCGATATATCCGACAATCCTCAAACGCTTCTGCTCGACATCCGCACTAGGACTTGCAAACAGAAGCAGGCTTAGAGGAACCCCCTCAAGATTAAGCGAGAGAGAGAATGTGGGAGCGAAGCGAGTGGAATATGGAGGCAGTGAGACAGAGGAGGCGAGGAGGCAGGGGGAGAAAAGGGAGAAGAAAAGACAGACAGAGCGGAGAGAAAAGAGGACGGAGAATTAGGGAAAAAGGGACGACAGGGGAAAAAGAGAAAGAGGGAGAGAGAAGAGGGCATGGGGAGAAGAAGGCAAGGAGAGAGGGAAAAAGGGAGAAGGGATGAGAGAGGGAGGGAGGTACGGAGAGAGAGAGAGAGAAAGAGAGAAAGAGAGAGAGAGCGGCGAGGGAAAGAAAGATAGATGTATCAATGATCACCTCATGCTGGCCGAGTAAATACAATTCATTCGACGGTTCGCGCTTTTTTTCCACCTCGCGTTTCACACGGCTGCGACGCAGCGACAAGCAATTCGCGTATATAGTTACAGAAACATCTAACGCTAAAGAGACATCGCCGCGCGCGTCACTACCTGTTTGTGAATGGTTTAGTGTCCGCTTGCCAGCCTCGAGTGTTCGTCGTAG